GGGGAGGAAAGAGGAGGAAGAAAGAGCACGAAGAGGAGATGGTATGAAGGGGGGGGGGGCGGGGGAGGAGTGGAACGAGGCTCATGACCAGTCTCTCGGTCCTCCGCCAGCCAGTGATGCTCACATGCTGGCCGGTGGCAGGCCGTCATTCTTGACCAGCCCCCGGCGGCAGGCCGTCATTCTTGACCAGCCCCCGGCGCAGGGCCTCCTTCATGATGGCCTTGCGCTCGGTGACAAGGTGCGTCGGGTCGTCCATGTCGTCGGGACGGAATCCCAGCCCCGGAGCGTCGATGTCCGGCGCGGGGCCCGGGGTTTCGGGCATCTGGCCAGCCGGCACATCGTCCAGGGCATACAGCTGGCGCTGGGTCCCGGCCACCGCCACATTGAACACAATCAGGTAGGGGGTCACCTGGTTCGGGTACTCGTTGTAGTACTGGAGGATGGACTGGGCCGCGTCGCGGCTGAGGAGCATGAAGGCCAGCACATGCCGGGCATCGATGTCCCGGGTGCCGGTCATCTGGAAAAGTGGGTGGTCATCCGGCAGGAAGTCCAACGGCGGGAATTCGTACGGGGTCTCGGGATCGGACGCCGGGACGCCATCAATGCCGCGGGCCCGAAGCAACGGGTGTTCCGGGTCCACGGCTCGCAGGACGGTGCCCATCTCTTCCAGGATTTCCAAGCGGATGATCTCATCCCGGAGGTTGGATTCCGGGCTGCGGCCCATCCCCCGGAGCAGGTCATTATACTCGATCTCCAGCTCCAAATACCGGTCCGGGACGGGGAGGTTGCTCCCTTCGGCGAAGAAGCGCTCCAGCTGCTGGAGCTCCTCCGGCGAGAGATCCCCCTCGGACCAGTCGCGACTGGTGTCGGTGAAGAGCGGGAAGAAGTCGCTCACGCGCAGGGTGACCGGCAAAACGATGTGGTACTGGTGGCAGATCTTCACCAGGCGGATGAATTGCGCATGGCAGGCCGCCTCGATGGCGGCCACCACCTTCGGGTTCAGGTTGCCCTCGAGCAAGTCCTCCCGGCGGATGCCGGCATGGTCGAGGCTGATGCGCAGGGCCGACAGCAGGCGCGAGTAGGCCACCGGCAGGCGCCGGTACTCCGGGCCCGAGGACTCCATCAGACCCTCCATGTCCCGAGTCAAGCGGTCCCGAATGGACAGACTGTCGGCCTGGGGCAGATCCATCAAGCCGGCCAGCACCTGGATGTGTCCCTCATGGCCGCCGGCCATTTGTTGCTCCAGCTCGAAGAGTTGCACCCGGAGAGCCGCCCGGACCATCCACTGGAGGTTGCGCACGTCCATTTGCAACATGCCTTCCAGTCGCTCCAGCAAGTCCAAGCCATGGGTCAGCAGCTTCATCGGCGTGTCGGACTCCTGGCGCGGTAGCAGGCCGAACAGCAGCTCCAAGCGCCCGACATCGGCCGTGGTCCCGGTCAAAAAGGCAAAGCGATCCAGCAGGAGCTGCCAGCCGGCCGTGGTGTCCTCCTCCAGCTTGCACTGGGCGCGGAGGATGTCCAAAACGACGCGCGTGTGCTCCGTGGCGCCCTCCTTGGGCAGGATGTACTCGTCGACGGAGGACGGACGGAGAATGGCCCGGCCGCCCAGGCGGAAGGCCGCCCGCGTGACATACTCCATTTCCCGGTACGAGAGGGTAGTCCACCGCTTGCCAGGCAGCGGGGCCTCCGCCTCGAGGAAGATCCCGCTGATCCCGCGAAAGTAGGGGGTCCGGGAGAATTGCGGCGCCAAGCGCACCCACCGCCGGTACATGGACCGCAAGAGCGGCGCGGGCAGCTTGGTGGACAGGCCGGACATGGTGCAGGTGTGTCCTGGAAATCGGGGAGCCGCCTGTCGCAGAGGAACAGGGGGAGGGGCAGACGGCGCGAAAGGAAACCGGAGGCAAGGGTGGCCGTGTGTGTGTGTGTGTGTGTGTGTGTGTGCGTGCGCGCAGGAAAAGCAGACGGAGAAGGAGGCAGGGGCAGACGGGGGAACGAAGAGACAGGCAGGGAGGGAGCGAGCAAGCAGGCGAGGGACCGATGGGGGTGGGATAAAAGAGGTCGAGATGGTAGTTCTTCCGGGTCCCCACATTGTGGTGGGCCAGAAAAAGAGGGCGCCTCCCCCTCCCCGTGTTCCGTGCGCCGACCATGAGGCTGCCCCCGCGATCTTGGGCATGCCGGAACGTGTGCGCTGGTACGCGGTCGCGGGGGCGGTGTGCCCGTGCGGCGGGGCTGGTCACCTGCCGGGATCTAGACATCCAGAATGTCGAGCTCTTTCGTGCTGACTAGGTGGCGGGGGCCGGCGGGCCAAAGGGAAAGGCAGGGGGGGGTGGGCCGGTGGGCCTGCCGCTTCGATCGTCGGCTAAGCGTGCGGCTCAAACCCACTGCCTCGCGTCCCTGCGCCCCAGCCTGGCCGGTGGCCCGCTACCGACAGGCATGGGCAGTGTGGTGCTGTTCCATTCGATTCGGGCCGTGCCTCTGGGCAGCGGGAGAAAAAAAAAAGCAGGCATTCGCGTGGGGGCTTTTGCACACATGGGGGAGAAAAAAAGGGCGTGTATTAACAGGTTGGTTGGTCCGGAGCCCAGCCATCTTGGCGGACATTACTTGGCCGCAGGGGTGGGGAAGGCGTCGGCCGCCGACTGGTGCGCCTTCTTGGTGATATCCGAAAGGCCGATCCGGTGAAGGGCAACCTGCAAGGCGAGGAGGGAGGGGGAGGGGGGGGGAAGGGGGGATCAGTCGCCACAGTGGGTCGAGTCAGGGGGAGGCTCAGGGGGGGGGAGGCGGAAGGCGAGGCAACCGGCGCGTACCTCGATACACTGCTGGTACGCCATGTAAAGCTCCTCGCAGGGGTGCGCCGGGGTGGGGGCCAGCGCCGGCTGGACGGCTGGGGGCTCCTTGGCAAGCTCGATGTTGAACCACTCATTGAAGCAGAACTCATAGGCCCGGCGGGCCTTGGTGCACTCAGGACCGAGGGACTCCATGGTTTACAAGTGGAAGCGGGGCGCAAGGGAGGAGGAATGCGAGAAAAGGGAGAAAAAAGGAGGCTTGGCAGGCCAGGAGAAGGGAGGGGGGGGGGGATCAGGGTGGGAAGGGGGGCACTTGGCGCGGGCCGCGGTGGCGGGATCGCAGCTCGGGCTCGAGGCCCAAAAAGGGCACACCAATTCGATCGCCTACGTGTCACCAGCGCGCGGGGTGGCCGGGTCCAAGAGCGGCCGGCAGAGACCGGGCCATCTTCCCAGACGCACGTACGCCTCCGCCACCCTGCCCTCTGGCCGGCGCCAAGGGGCGGGCGGCGCTTGTGTGGGCTGGCGGGAACAGTTGGCGGGCCGGTGTCATTGCCCCAGGGTGGCACGGGTCTTGCACGTGAGGTAGGCACCACCGCACGGGACCCCACACCCACCCGGCGGGCCGGCTAGGGGTAGCCCCGGAAGGCTGGGGGAGCCGCACCGGGGGGGGGGGCGGCAGAGAGTCGTCGGCCGGGAGGCCGGTTCGGTTGCTTGTCCTTCCGTGCACGCGAGAGAGCATATGCCGCGCGCGCGCGCGCGCTCGGCTGGTGGCCACCCCAGGCGGGCCCGGGGCGAGGGCCCGGTCAAGTTGTTTTCGCCCCCATGGAGGCCGGTGGTGCACCGGGCGCAGGCGTGCCGCACGTCGCAGGTATCGTCATCCCCGGGTCTTGCTCTGTCCCATTGTTTCCGGCCAGGCCGCCAGTCCGGGCAGGGAGAAGCCAACGAACAACTTCCGCCTCGCGCGGGGGCTGCCGATCGGTGGCCCTTTCGCCAGGGGATGCACCGTCACCATCATCCCCCCCCCCCCCCCCCGCCCCTTCGCCGGTCGTCCCCTTCGCTCTCCGGCCCCATGGGACGCGGCTGCCCAGCAGCCGTGCGTCGCCGTGTCTATCACTGACAGAGGGGTGGGGCCGGGGTGCCGTGGCGGGGCGCACGGTGGGGCGCAGAAACAAGCCCCCCGAGCAGCAGCAGCAGCAGCAGCCCGGCCCCGGGGGCTTCCCGCGGCCCGGGCCTCCCGGGCGATGGGGCTCCCCCCCAGCCGACCCCGCCCGAGAAGGGCTCCCTGCGCTGCAAAGGGAAAGGCCCCTCGAAATCGTGCCACGACCTGGCGGCGGGGCGGCGGCCGGAACCTGGCGCGTTTGGGGGGCGGGGGTAGGATGAGCGGGGGGTGGGGGTAGTGACGGTGGCCGATCTGCTCACTTTTTCTGCGATCAGCCCCTGAGCTGGCGCCTGTGGAGGCGCGACCCACCGCCATCCACCCCCCGATGCTCCCTTCGCTCGCCCCTCTCCCCGCCACCTTCCTCTCCCTCGTTCCCTCTTCCCCTCCCCCCCCTGCCTGCCTGCCACTTCCCGCCACTCTGTCCAGTCACCCGCCACCATGTCGATGACCAGTGTGGCCCTCTATGACCTGGAACAGGTCAACAAGGGCGCTGGCGAGCTCCCCTTCCGCCAGGGGGACGTCTTCACTGACGGTGCGCGCCTCTTCCGGCCTCTGCTCATCCTCTCGCGCCCCTCTCCCCTTTCATGCTGTCCCTCCCCCTCCCCTGTGAAGGCACTGATGTTTGTGCTCTTGCCTTCCCGGTGTCGGTCCTCTTGTCCCGCTTCCCTGGCGCGCCATGTGCACAGTTGAGGTCAGCAGCGATGGCTGGCTGCTTGTGACGCATGCCGCTTCCGGCGAACGTGGCTACGTCCCGGCCAGCTACCTGGAAAAGCCGAAGCCGGCTGCGGTTGCCGCAGCCCCGGCTACACCGCCCCGGCCGCCCATCCGGCCGAAGCCCGCCGGCCTCACCCCTTCGGTTGGCCGGGCTGCCTCGGTCCACCGGCCGATGTCCATGTGTGCGTTCCCGCCTCCCCCTCCCCCGCTCGGCTGATAGATTCATGCCTTTGGGCTGATGGGACATTCGTCCCTTCGTTTAGTCGCGCCCCTCCGGTGAGCACTCCCCCTTCCCTCTCTCTCTCTCTCTCTCACACACACACACACACACACACGCGCGCGCGCAGATGCCCCGTCCACCTCCTCTTCACATTCTTTCTCCTCGGCCCCGAGCACGGCCCCGGTCAGCACTTCGACCTCGACCACATCCTTTGCCAGCCCGCCGCTGCCAAGCCGGCCGGTGTCGCAGTTCGGCGCGCCGCCACCGACGGCCGGTGGTTTCGCTGCCCCGCCGCCGACGGCCAGTGGCTTTGGCACGCCGCCGGCCCTGCCGGCTCGCAGCCAGACCGCCGCCCCGACCCTGCCACAGCGTCCGCAATCGGTGTACGTCGGTGGCAGCGGCCCGGCCAGGGACTTTGGTGGGGCCGCGGCCCCGGCTCTACCGGCTCGCGGTGGACAGGGGGCTCCGGTGGCCGGCTTCGGCGGGCCCCCGGGCCTGCCCCCGCGCACCGCGGCCGGCGGTGGCGGTGCTCCGCCTGCCCTGCCGGCCCGCAGCCAGCCCGGCTCCCCCGGAGCTGGCAGCCCGCCCAGCTTGCCGGCTCGGGCCCCGGTGGTGGTTCCCCCGTATGAGGTGGTTTCCGGCTGGGACATCCCGGACTGGGAGCAACGCACCGCGGCCGGGGACTTCGCCCGCCGCGCGGCTCGACAGGGCGTCAAGAACAGCCTTGGCACGGTGGTCCTGCCGGGCGCGGCGGCGGCTGCCGCCATGTCCGAAACCGTCGAAGGCCACGCCTCGCGCTCGGTACTTGGCGACATTTGGTGCGTCGGCTCTCTCTCTCTCTCTCCCTCTCTTTGCTCCTCTCGTGCTCTTTCCCGCCATCGCGCCCATCCCCACCCCGCCCCCATTCATGCACCTGTGCCTGGCCAGTCTTGCCGTCTCCCTCCCGATGGCCTGGCCGTCTTCAATGGCAGCTGCTCGCCCACTGACTTCTTTGTCCGCCTGCTTCTCCCCAGGGACTTGGCGGATATTGACCGAGATGGCGCGTTGGATGTGTACGAGTTCATCGTGGCCATCTTCCTGTCGCGCAAGGCACGCGCCGGCCAACCTCCCCCCAAGACACTCAGTTACAACATGACTCCGCCGAGCAAGCGCCGGTGAGCAACACAGGCCCTGATTCCTTGGACCACCATCGCGCACCCGAGTTCCGCGCGGGGTGGCGTCCCTCGATCTCGCTTTCCCTCGCCTCCCGGTGTCCACCCTGATCTCCGTCCATTCCTCACTTTTCCTCTCTCTCTCTCTCTCTCTCTCTCTCCCCCCCCCCCCCAGCCACATGGCTGTCAATAGATCTCCCTGCCAGGAGCAGCTGCCTCTATTGCTTCGCGGTTTGCCGGCTCCCATGCACAGGGGAAGGGAGGGATGATGGGATAGCCACATCAGAAGCTCATGGGACTCTCGCCAGGGCCATAGCGCAGACGTCCCCGGTGCTGGACCATGACGATGTTGTACTTGGACCGGACGGCCGCCAGGGCCTCCAGTAGCGATGGGTCCTGCGGGTCATGCAGGGGAACACGGGCCGGCTGCTCGTCGAGCGCGTTCAGCGCGGCCAGAAGACTTGGCCGGTCGATAGCAGAGGGGGCAACAAAGGTGGTGACGGCGGCGATGGTGGTGGCGATGGAGGGGGGAGGGGTGAGACCCAGGCAGGGTGATAAGGGCAGCCGGCTAGCACCACCAACAAGAGCAGCTGGTCGTGGGGCAGCGTACCGGGGGGTGATGGCCTCGCCGTAATGCCGCCGGCAAGCGAGGGAGATGCCGCGGTAGAAGCCCAACTCGCGACCCAATTGGAAGCCCTTGGCCAGGCCGAGGTCCACGCCTTCAAAGAGCCCAGCCTTCAGGCCATCATTGAAGCCATCCTCGAAGCCGACCTCCTGGAGGCTGCGCGGTGTCAGTGGTCCTCAATGCAGGGGGGGGGGGGGAGGGAGAAGTGGGCCAGAGCCGGAGCAAAAGCAGGCGGGAAAGGCCGCCAGGCTGCAAGCCCACGCGGTAGCCGGATGGGGCAGGTCCAGCACGCACCTTTCCTCGACATTGAGGGCCGAGCCGAAAATGTCGTCCAGGTCGCCGGGCGGGTGACGCGGCCCGGAGTGTGCTGGCCGATCATTGGAGTCCATGATATCAAGGAAAAGGCGAAAGCTGGAGCAAAGAGGAAGGGAGGAAGGTCAAAGGGAGGGTGTATGTCTGTCTGTGTGTGTGTGTGTGTGTGTAAACTGGGAGGCAGGGGCGAGGTGCTTGGGTTTGGACATTGAGTAAGGCCAGCCAGCTGGCCAGCTGTCACGGTGGGGCGCCCGAAGAGGCCAGGGGCCTCCCCCCCCCCCCCACCTCCGACAAGATCTCGCGTGCGTCCGGCACCGCCAAGCAATGCCCCCCGCCTCCCAGAGGGGGGGGGTCCGTCCCGGGCGCTTGCCTGTGCACCACCATGTGCCGGCCGGGGCTCCTGGGCGGCCGCCAGGGGGGTGGCCGGGGCGCCGGGCGCACGCCGGTACGCACCACATAAGCACGTAGGGGGCCGATCGCGGGACCAAATGCCGACGCAAGGGGTCCGCAGCCCCCTACGCGTGATACATCCCTCGGGCCGAGCGCCGGCAACTCGCCCGACATTTCGTTGGCCGTTGACAGAGCGCGCGCGTTTTCGCCGTCTCTCCCGCTCTGGATGCGCTCTTTTCCCGCCTCTTTGCGTGTGTGTGTGTGTGCGTGCGTGTGCGCGCATGCCGGGTCTGGGGTTGCTGCGGCAGTGGCCTGCTTTCTGACTTGGGTGGGTGTCTGGGTGTGAGGACCGGGCTGCTTTGGTGTGCGTGTGCGTGTGCGTTCGCATGTTGTATGGCTCGCGGGGGGGATCGGCTGCTGTGTTGCGCCAGAAATCGCGCCGTGTATGTGTGTGTGTGTGTGCGCACTCGGGAGGAGTGTGTTCTGCTTTCGCAGACCCGCCCCTGCGACTCCAGCCTCTGAAACGGCCGCCCAGGCCGGCGTGTAGGCGGGTGTGTGTATGTGTGTGCGGGGGGGGGGGGGGGGGGGGGCCCGGGGGGCGGGGGGGGGGGAGAGGGGGGCGAGGAAAGGGAGCAGCTGTCAGTGTGGGGTGGGGGAGAAAGGAAGACACGCGTGTCTGACGTGACGCCGGAGGGCAATAGGCGGGCACAGCGGCATAACCGAGAGAAGGGGGCATTCACGCACTCGGCCAGATTGATGACGAAAAGGACCGCCTTGACGCGATCGAAGCAGTGGATCCAAGGCAGGCTGACCCGGCAATGCGCGTAGGCCGACAAGGCTCCATGGGCCAATGACACACAGGGCGGCGACACCAATACACAGAGAGGGCGAGAGGGCGTCCAGATGCACCCAAGGATTTGGCCCTCAAAGGGGGAACATGCCGGCCCTGGGCCAGGATGGACCAGGTTGGGGGCGTGGGCGCCAAAAGGCGGCTGGGCGGGGGGGGGGGGGGGCGGGGGGGGGGGGGGGGGGGGGGGGGGCCGCGCACCCGGGGCACATGTGCGCGGATGCATTTTCCAGGTGCATGCGCGGCCGCCCGCCCGAGTGTCAAGGCCTCCCTGGCACCTGGCGGGCAAGGCCTGAGGGAGGAGGGGGAAGTGGGCGCCGGGGGCGGCGGCACCTGGGGATGGCGTTTTTTCGGCGCAACCGACGCTAGGCGGCCGGATGCTGGCGCCCGACGCCGGCGCATGCTGACCGTTGGTTCAGACCGGCCGACCCGGGTTAGTGTCCCCAACCCCCTTGTGCTGGTCTCCCTGCTCCGGGAGTACCCTACTTGGCGAGCCGCGCCGTTGGCCTGGCCTTGCCCCAGGCCGCCGACACTGTGTCTCCGGGTTGTCCCCACCCCCTCTCCCCCCTTGCCCTCTCCTTCCCCCTTCCTTCTACTCCTTCTTCCCCTCCGCCAAATCCCCGACTCCCCCCCCCTCCCTTCCCCCCTCCCCCTTGCTCGCTGTCTTTTCTGCTGTCCGCCGCCCGGCTCGAGCCTCCCCTCGCCGCCGCCGGCCGCCACGCCTTTCTACCGCCCTCTCTCTTCCTCTCTCTTTGCCGTTGCTCGGTCGTTCGACAGCTGGTCGAGTACACGCGCCGACATGTCTGAGCAGGTTCCAACCCCGGTCTCGGGCTCGGGCTCAGGCTCGGCTCCGGACTCGGCCTCCGCGCCGGCCCCGGTCCCGGCCCCGGCCGACTCTTCCCCCGGGACTACCACCTCCACTGCCTCTACCATTCCCACCACCTCTACGACCATGACGACCCCTGCGGCTTCCGCCACCACCGCCACCACCACCGCCGCCGCCCCCGCCGCCGCCGCCGCCACGGATGCCCAGCCACCTCCGGTCGACGGTTCGACTGCCCCGGACTCGGCCCCGGCCCCGGCCCCGACTCCCGATCAGCCAATGGCCGAAGCCACGCAGCCCGAGCCTGAGACATCGCCCGCGGCACCCGACTCGAAACCCATTTCCCCGACGGCCGCCGACCCTGAGGCCCCTGCTGTTGCTGCTGCTGCTGCTGCTACTGCCGCTGATGCTGCCGGAGCCCTGGTCACCACTGCTGCCCCGGTCGGCTCGGCCATGTCAGCCGGCACTTCTGCGGCGGGTGCCCAGACTGCTGGCGCCCCGGCGAAGCACCCCCCCGCCGTCGCTGCTGACGCCATGTCCGGCGGTGCTTCCCTGGTCGTTGCCACCCCGGTTGCCACCTCTCCCATCCGGGCGAAGTCCAGTCTGACGGAGGCCCAGCTGCAGGCTACGCCGCAGCGCCTCTTCAACGCCGCCCATGTGTCGGATTACCGCGAGTTGCCGCCCCTGCCGGAGGACCTGGCCTGTGACTTGGCCGACCTCACCCTGGAGGAGCTCATCGAGCGTATCCAGACCCTGGCCCTCTGGAATGAGGACATCGGTGCGTCCGTCTGCCCCCCCCCCCCCCCCCCACCCCCGCCCCCCCCCCCCCCCCCACCCGCCCACCACCCCCCCGTCACCCCCCCCCCCCCCCCCCCCCCCCCCCCCCCCCCCCCCCCCCCGGCCCGGGCCACATCATGCGGCATGGCCTCCTCCTTCCCCCTGGCCGGCCCCCTCTTGTGCCTCCGCCAGCTGGAAGCTCGCGTCGTCTTCTCACCCGCCCCCCCCCCGCCCCCCGCCACAGAGTTCCCCGAGCATTTGGTCTTCTTCCTGCAGCTGCGCGACTTGCTGGACAACCCGTTCTCGCTGCCGGCACCGGCCGAGGCCGATGCGACTGCGCCCCCCGGGTCCGGGCGTCTGCCTGGGCCCGGGTCTTCCTTCCTGCGGCTACTGGCGGCCCTGGTGCCGGCCCTGGTGAGCTTTGTCGGCACCTGCCCCGTTCCCTCGCATCTCCCAGTGCCGCCGGTTGCCGGGGGCGCGGATGCCAGCCCCCCGGTGCCGGTGTCCCGGCCGGGCTTCGACGTCGATTCGGCGGAGGTGCGCGCGCGCCTGGCCGCCCTGGATCTGTTGGCCCGAGTGACCGGGTCAGCCAGTCCGGCCTTCTCGCCGGCCATGGCCAGCTCGATCATCGCCGCCGGTGGGGCCGTGGCCAGTGACACCCTCCCGCCATTGGCCGAGCACGGCCCGGTCGCCTCGTCTGGTCCCTTCGGCTCGCGCGAGCTGCCCGTCGACATTATCCTGGCCATCAGCGAGCTCCTGTGCGAACACACCCAGGCCATTGTGACCATGGTGCGTGGCACATCGCGTGCGGGCGTATGCCGGGATCGGCGTGAGCCCTAACTGCCTTCCCCTGCTCTCTGTCTCTCTTCCTTTCCCTGCCTCCTTTTCATGTCATGCGCTCTTGCGTGTGCATGTACCGATGCGCTGACTCTTCACCTCCCGTCTTTCTCTCTCTCTCTCTCTCTCTCTCGCGCGCGCGCGCTCCCTCCTCCATAGTGTCTGGTGGTCATGGAGCATGACAATGAAGACTCGGCGCTCATTGCCAGCCGGGTCATGACCGACGTCATCCGGAATGCCGATCAGATAGCCGCCCAGCAGCAGGCCGAGGCCAGCCGCCTGGAGGCCCTTCGCCTGCGTGAGGAGGCCAGCCAGGCTGCCGCTGCCAATCAGGCCGCTGCGGCGGCCGCTGCCGCGGCGGCCGCTGCCGCCAGCAAGGCTGCCGCTTCCTCGAACAAGATCGAGGCCCCGGGCGACGGTAAGAAGGACGCTCCGGATGGGCCGTCCGCCGGCGGTGCCGCGCCCCCGACCAAGCCCGGCGTCAAGCCCCCGGCCACGGCCAAGGCAGCCAAGGCCAAGACCGCGGCCGCCTCGGCCAAGCCTGGCAAGGCGCCGGGTGCGGCTGTGGCTGCGGCGACCACCGCCGCCGCTCCGACCACCGTCGGGGGGGCCGCCGGGTCCGCCCCCGCTGGAAAGGCCGCCACCGCCGTCGGGAAGGGAGCCGCTGCTGCGGCTGCGGCTGCGGCTGCGACTGCGGCCGTGGCCGCGGCCACTGCGGCGGCGGCCGCCCCGGTCACCGCCCCGGCCCCGGCCGGTAGTGCGACTCCGATGAGCGGCTCCGCGCCTGCTGCAGCCATTTCACGGCCGACGGCCGCGTCGCTGACCGCGCGCCTGACCGGCACCAAGGCTCAGGCGCACACGCAGCAGTGCCTGCGTGCCCTGCTGGGTCTCTTCCGCACGGCCTGCTCGAACCATGGTCGCTCTGTGCGCATTCTCCTCACCGCCGTGGCCAGCACCACCCCCGAGGAGGGGGCCAGTGGCGAGGACGACCCGGAGTCCTGCTACGGTGCACGCCCGGCCGGGGTGCCCCCCTCCAAGGGGCTGCTCAAGTCGCTGTTTGGCTTCCGCGTGCGTTGTCGTGTGCCCCCCTTGGCCGGCTGAAGCCAGCCCGCCTGCCCGCCTGCCATCCTCCCTCTCCCTCTTCATCTTTTGCTGACTCCTCCACTCGGCCTGCTCCCTCCTGGCCCCATGCCGCGGTTTGCCCATGGGTGATGTGTAGTTCCTCGGCGAGCTCACCTCCCTGCTGGGGTTCCTCCTGCGGGATGCGCGCTCGGCCGACCTCGGCGACCTGAACCACTTCCAGGAGTCCATGCAGCTGGCTCTGCGGGCCATTTTGCCGACCCCCGGGCCCGGGGAGGCCTTCCCCCTGCCCTCGCCGCAGCCCTACCTCGACTGCCTGTGGGTTCAGTGCCGGCTGGTGAATGCCCAGTTTGCCATCCTCTCCTCCCGTGGGACGGACCTCATCCTGACCATTCCCCGGCTGGCGATGCGTCTGCTGCGGGCCTGCCCGCCGGACACGGTGGCCGTGCGCCGGGACATCCTGAACCTCCTGCGGCACTCGATGCTCCATGAGCCGCGGCACAATTACCTGGATTACTTCGAGGACTTCCTGGACGAGACGACCCTGCTCGGGAACCCGCGCATGCATTCCGGCACCGCGGGAGCCAATGCGGCCAGTTTGCTGGCCTATTCCATGCTCCGGCCGATGGCCGTGTCGATTGTGGCGGATTACGTGCACTTTGCCCGGCGGCAGTTGTCCCTCGCGCGCATGCAGGCCGCCACCGAGGCCTACTGCCGGTACCTGCATGACCAGGAGCTCCCGATCAATGTGCAGATCCTCTCGGTCAAGGTGCTGCTGAACCTGTGCGAAACCCTGTGCATTACTCCGCGCGATGGCGAGCCGCCGGCCGCCCGGCGGAACATCGTGCTGGCGGTCTTCCGGTCGATCGCCGGCAAGTTCGACCAGCTGGCCGCCATGTTGCCGGTGCTGGTGGCCCGTGCGCGGCGCCGTGATGTCGCCCTGGCGGCTGACGCGCCTGACTCGGACACCGCACAGGCCTCCGCTTCCCCGGGGCAGCCTCTCGACGATGTCACCGCCGGCGACTGGGCCCTGCACCAGCCGCTGCTCACTTGGCCGTATGCCGAGCTGACGTACCCCGGCGGGGCGCTGGCCGCGCCCGGGTACCAGCTGAAGTTCGGCCTCGGCACGGCGCACCCGACCTCGGCCCTGGCGGCCTCCACCATGACGGCCATTTCGTCGGCCTGTGTGGTGGGCTCGTCCTCGGCGTCGCTGACGGCCACGGCCGTGGCCACGGCCGCCGTGTCGGCCAACGGCAGCATCGACCTGGCCCTGGCCCAGCGCATTCCCTCCCTGATAGGCATCCTGCCATCGGTGCCGCAGGCGGTGCACGAGAATTTGAAGGATGCCCGGGCCCTGTACCGGAATCTGGCGTCGCTGCTGCCGAATTTGCAATTGGTGGTTCTCTTCTTGGACCTCCCTCCCAACAGCCCGACCACCATGCAATTCCATGCGCGCATCAATGCCGAGATGGCCACCGGCCCCGGGGGCATGGGCCAGGTCCAGGTGCAGGCCCTGCTGCGGGATCTGCTCAAGCGCCATGTGCCCTTCACTCCGAGTGAAGGGTCGCTCTCGTTGCGGTTCTTCGCCGGGCTCTTCCAGTCCGGCCTGCGGGCGTTCGATGTCTTCCTGCCGGCGGTGGCCCGGACGTCGGCCACCTGCCTGCGGGGGGCCCTGGCCACGGCCATGGAGGCCACCGGCGGCCTGCCGGTCCTGTCGGAGGCGCTGCGGCTGCAGCGTTTGGCCGGCGCGCCGACCCCCTTCGGCGACCTGCTGGACTTGGCCAGTGCCTTTTCCCCGACCGAGGCCCTGGCCGCGCACTGGTATGCCGGGGGCCGGGTGCCGGGGGTGCGGCTGCCGTTGCACACCGGCCCGGGGGCCGGGGCCGCGTCGCTTGTCGATCAAACGGTGGCCGACCTGCTGGCCGAGGATCTGGCCGCCCTGCGCGGGGACCAGGTCGATGTGGCGGCCTCCCGGGTGCCGGCCGACATCGCGGCCTTGCCGCAGTCTCCCTCGTTGAATTACTCCTCGCCGGCCATCCTGCAGCCCTTGCCGCGCATTGAACGCGAGGCGCTCAGTCACTTTGCCAATCTCCTGTCGCTGTTGCACCCGCTGGCGGTGCGCGACCTGCTGGAGGGGCTCCTGCCGATGTTGGTCGGTCGGATTGCCGAAAACCTGCAAACCTTCGGCTTCATGCAGGATCTGCTGGCCACCCCGCCGCCGGTGTTGAATGCCGTCACGGCCGAGTGCCTGGGCCGGTGGCTTGTGGCTCGGATTGAGTGGTGCGGCCCGGATGCCGAGCGGGCCATCGACCGTGCGCACCGGCAGCAGGCCCTGCGCCGGGCCGGCGGCGAGACGCTATTGCACATGGCCGCGGCCGCGGGCACGGCCCCGGTGCGCAGCCAATGTGTGTGCTTCGCCCCCGGGGCTTTCGATGATGATTCGGACCTGGTCCGCCGGGCCCTGCTCGGGGTGCCGGGGCTGGATCAGCCGGAGGTGGGGCAACGCCGGGAGGCTGGCGCCCCGGCCCCCGGGCTCCCGCCGGCCGTGTGCCCCTCATGCGACGCGACCCTCCTGCATGCGGCCCCGCTGACGCCCATTTCCATGGTCCTCCTGCGCCTGTTCAAGCTGGTCCTGACCACCTTCTCCCAGGACAGCAAGAACCCCATGGACCAGGGGGAGCAGCCGCTTCAGCCCTACCTGCGGTATATGATCATCAAGACGCTTGAGGTACGACCCGGGAGCCGCGTGCCGGTGGGATCCCCCCCCCCCCACCACTCAACTCAACTCACCTTGCAATCTCGGCCGCCCCCCTCTCCCCGCACCCCCCCCCTCCCCCCCTCCCCTGTGCCCTCTCGGGGCCTGACTGGACTCTAACGTGCATCGGGCTCGGGCCCCCTTCCGCCATGCCTCTCGACACGGCGATCGCCAGGTCGCCGGACGGGCGCACGACCCCCGGTCACATCTGGGCCTCTTGCGGACCCTCTTCCGGAACCTGGCCCAATCGCGGTCGGACTCCACCTACAAGATCATCCTCTCGCTGACGCCGTTCCTGCTGACGCAGCTGACGCGCCAGCTGGAGGCCCGTGCCGAGGACAAGGACGTCCGGGATATCCTGGTGGAGCTGTGTCTGACGGTGCCCGTCAAGCTGTCGGACCTGCTCAATGACCTGGGGTACCTGATGAAGCCGCTGATCCTGGCCCTGCGATCGGGCACCGAGCTCGTGGGCCAGGGTCTCCGGACGATTGAGCTGTGCATCGAGACCCTGGCGGCATCCTTCCTGGACCCGCTGCTGGCTCCGCATGCGGACGATCTGATGGACGCCCTGAGCCTGCACTTGCGCCCGCTGCCGCACAACAGCACCCACGCGCACACGACGCTGCGGATTTTGGGCAAGCTCGGCGCTCGAAGCCGTCGCTTTGCCCATCCCCGGCCGCTGGCCTTCAACCACTCGCCGGAGGCCGGCTGCACGGTGTCCTTCCCGGTGAAGAGCGGCCTGGCCGAGCCGGCGGCCCCGGGGGAAGCCACGCATCTGGCCACCTCGGCCATGGAGGCGGCCAGTGTCTCCAGCGCCGCGGTCAATTGGCTGAGCTTGCCGATGGATGCGGCGGTGGCCGAAGCCGCGCGCATCCTCCGGCTGCCGCTGATCCTGCCGCCCGGGGACCCGGACGACCCGGCCGCCTCGCCGGTCCTGGTGGGCCTGGAGCAGGAGCTGGCCCGGCGTCGCGACGCCTCGGCCCTGGTGTGCGCCCTGCTGGAGCTGCTGCTGGATCCGCGTGCCGGGTCGGAAGACTCGGCCACCGAGGCGCCCCCCGGTGCCGGGTCCGAGGGCGGCCTCGGGCCTCTGCCCAATGTGGTGGCCGCCACCTTCCAGATGGTGCCGGATATCGCCGCGCGTCGGGCGGCCATTTCCCGGGCGGCGGCGGCAGCAGCTGCGACGGCGGCAGCGGCGGCGGCGTCCACAGCCGCCGGGTCCGACCCGGCAGCCCCTCCCCCGGAGCCGGCTTCCACCCCGGAGGCCGAGCGGGCGGCCGCCATGGCCGCCACCGCGGAGCAGCTATTCCAGGAATGGCGCCGGCGTGAGGCGGCCGGAGCCGGGGCCGGCATGCCGGCTACCATGAGCACCGGCGGCCCGACTGGGCAGTCCTGCCGGGAGTCCTCCGCCTCGCGGTTGATGGCGGCGGTTTTGCTGGCCGCGGCTCCGCCCTTGCTGGAGGTGACCCTCGGCGAGGCGGTCCTCGGATCGAGCCTGGTGGACCCGACGCGTGGGCCGTACGGCTCGGTCGAGGCGGCCATCCGCCTGACTCGGTCGTCTCTCGGCCGGCGGTACGAGCGCGAGGTCCAGGCCCCGGCCCGGGCCCTGCTGGCTGTGGTGGCCCGGCAGCTGGCCCTCTGTCGAGTGGCTGGCCGGGTGTTCTACCGGCCGGCGCGCTTCAATCCGGCCTTCCCGCCCCTGGCTCCCGGCCGGCCCGGGGAGTTCCAGCCGCCGCTGGAGCCCATGCAGGTCCCGCCGGTGCAGCATGCCACGGCCCCGCACTTCGATCTGGATGTGCTGGTTTCGGCACTGGTCCATGTGCTGACACGCGAGCGTCGCGACGACCGGGTCCTGGCCGGCGAGGTGGCCCGCATCCTGCGCATCTATCGCGACACGTGCTACTTGAGTCTGGCCTCGCAGCCGGGTGCGTGTTCCCATGTGCCAGGGGGGGGGGCGGAGGGAGGGGGGGGGGGCTTTCTCCCTTGCTTTCCTTTTCTTTCCGTGCTGCCCGCCCTGTCCCGTGCCCCGTGCCCCGTGCCCCATGTCGGTCCATGTCCTCCTCTGTCCCACTCACTCTCTCTGTCTCTGTCTCTCGCTGTCTGTGTCGCACCCGCAGAGGCCGTCTACATGGAGCTCTTCTTCGAAAAGCTCCTGACGCAGCTTCTGTTCAACTGCAGCGCCGAGAGCAGCACCGTGCGCTTCGGGGCGGTCCTCGGCCTGCGGGTGCTCATCGACCAGCCGCAGCTGGATCTGAAATCCTGCGGGGTCACCCGGCAGATGCTGCTGCCGGAGCGCTTCCCCCTGGAGGAGCGAGACTTTGTCCTGCCCGCCTCGCTGGAGGGGTCCATTCCCGGGGACTTCGCCTACCAGCCGCTGGGGCTGAGCCCCGGGTGGCTGATCCACTTTGAGGATCGCATCGTCGGGTCGCTGTTGCATGTCCTGCGCGACAGCTGCCCGGACTTGCATGCCAGCCTGGTGGCCGAGACGCGCCTTTGCCTGACCACGCTGCTGGCGGTGCGTGTCTGCCCCCCCCCCCCCCCCCCCCCCCCCCCCCCCCCCCCCCCCCCCCCCCCCCCCCCCCCCCCCCCTTGCCGGGCCTCGGCCCATGGGCCGGCATCACGCCCGACTCTGACCCTTCTCGCTCCCCTCATTTTGGTGGGCTCGGCTTGTGCATGGGTGCCTCTTCTTCTTTTTTTTCTCCTCTCCGTCTGCTTCTCTCCCTCCCCCCCCCCCCCCCCCCCGACGTGCAATGCTCCGCGGAATGCCCACCGCCGGGAGCTTTTGCGCCGGCTCCGGTCAGCCGCAAGCACCACCGCAGCCCACCCCAGCGCCAATGACGAGCCGGCACCCCCGGCTGGAGCTGATCTGACCATGGCCCCAGCCGAGCAGGATCCGACGACCGGGGCATTGCCCGACTCGCCCGGCTCTTCGGAGACCCCCCTGCCGGCGGGCGATGCTGCCATGGTCGACGCGCCGACCGACGACCTGGCCAGCGAGGCTGGCCTCCGGCCAGGCGCCATGCCGTCCTTTGGGTCCTTCCAGCCGGACGTCCTCAACGCCACGCACGAGGCGGCCCTCGTGTGCTTGGTTCAGGTATGCACACATGGGTCTTCCCTGCCGGCCTCGCGGCGCCACAAATGCGACCACCGGCCCGGAGCAGCCGACACCGCTGCCGCCCCCTGGCCGTGCCTCTCCCCTCCGTGTGCTGACCTTTCTGCTTCTCCCTCCCGGCTTAGCGCCTGCTCCACGAGCTTAACACTCCGTCGGAGCTGGTGCGGCGCACGGCGCGCACTTGCCTGCGGATCCTGGCCCGGAGCCGGTACATGGACGAGGCGCCGCCGGTTCCAGCCGGACCAAACGCCGAGGAGGCCGGCATCCTCTCGGATGAGAGCGACTCCCTGTGCCGACTGCTGAAGGCCGCGCGGAATCTCTCGCTGGCGCGCTTCAACCGGGTGCAGCCGTTCGACGTGCTGACGCCGGCCTCCGGCAACCCGGCCCAGACGCCCCATCGGGCGCGCTTCCACCAGTACACCGTGGCACAGCAAACGGCCTACCTCGAGTGCATGGGGTTCTACCTGTCGATGAACATCACCTTTGTGTCCAGCGAACTGGCCGAGATGATGAGCAACTTCGTGTCGGGCATCATCGCCGGGGTGCTGCCCCTCTTCGCCAACATGGTGAAGATCCCGCCCGAGCATGCGCACTTCGTCGACAACCCGGCCGACTCGCTGATCCCCCAGCCGGGGTATGGCATCTTCCCCTGGTCCAAGCAGCGCATTCGCGTTTTCAGTGCCATGATCGAGCTGTTTGCCGTGCTGCTGGTCCGCCAGGAATTCGCCGACCTCCGGTGCGCCCCACCATGCATGCTCCTGGGGCCTTTTGCCGTTGGTCCTTCTACTCTCGGCCCCGCATCGTCCCTCGCCCTTTCTCTCTATCGCCCACACACACACACATACACACACCTTGCTGACTGCGATTCTTGCCCACCCCTGGACACAGCATCAAGATCACGCACTTCCTCTTCGTGGTTTTGTCCTCTCCGATGACCGCCCTGCATCCGGTCACGCACAAGGTCATCAGCGTTGCCAATGTCCTGAACCGGGTGGATCGCCAGTCGCTGCAGCGCTTCCTCCGGCCCTTCCTGTCCAATGTCAACAGCTACTCTCGGCTGGACATGTACATCCTCCGGTCGCTGTCCTCCTTCCTTGACCTGCTGCCGGCGCTGTTCAACATCAACCTCGGCAACCGGGTGCGTGGCTGGTCTTGCGGCCGACGCCGGGCAATCCCCGGCCACCCTGATCTCGGGTCCCGCCTCCCTTTTCCCATTTGCCTTTGCTTCTCTTCGCTGACACTTGCCACGTTCCCTGCCCTCTCCCTCTCTCTCTCCCCCCCCCCCTCCCCCCCGTTGCACACGCGCTTAGTTGTTCGAGCTCCTCGGCCTGTGGGGCTCGCTCCTGGCCCTGAGCATGGGGGTCCCGGCGGCCGAGCTCCAGGAGTACGACCTGCCGGAGCCCTCGTCGGAGGTCCCGCTGACCAGCCAGCCCCTGCCCTTCCGCAAGCAGTCCATCGACCTGAGTGTGGCCATCTTGCACACGTTCCACCTGCTGTCCGACTGGGCGGAGGCCCTGCTGGAGATCACCTTCAAGCGGGTGGTCGGCCTGGAGCGCCTGCTGCAAATGTCCCTGGCGTCGCCATACCGGCTGCCGCTGGCCCGGTTCATGGCTCGCTACCCCCGGTCGGTGGTGGGGCTCTTCTTCAACTTCACGCCCGTGACGGCGGCCATGGCCGCCGCGCCCGGGGGCAGTGGGTCGGCCATTTGCCCGAAGGCCCTGCGCCAGATGCCGGACCTGGAGGACATGCTGTCGGCGTCCTTCTTTTCCGGCGCCCACTTCACCCTGTTCCTGGACCTGGTGGAGACGTACGGGGCCACGCTCTTCGAGCCGGTGGCCCTGGCCCTGGCTCCGGTGGTGCCGTCGCTGTTGGTCCTGCTGACGCGCAATGTGCCGGCCCTGGGTGGCCGTGCGCTGCACACGCTCGGCCAGGCGGCCCGCCTGACTCGCCTGGCTCTGGACCTCTTTGGCCCTGCCTACCTGCGCCTGATCCGGCCGTACTTGATGGAGTTCCTCCGCGCGGCCTATGAACAGGCCTTCCTCTTTGGCAGTCGCGAGGGTGGCAATCCGCTGGCCATGGTGGCCGGCACCGAGCCCGCCTCCGCCCTGGCTGCCATGCGCCACCACTCCGGGGACTTTGATGATGCCCTCCGTGAATTGAGCGCCCTCTGCTGCAAGTACCTGGCTTTGTGCCTGCAGCCGGCCACGCCGCCGGCCCTGCGGGCCCCCCTGCCTGGGGACTTTGTGGCCGCGGCCCAGCGCGACCCGGCCATCGACAGTGCCCTGCCCTCGGTGGTGGAGGCCCTCTTCGGGGTGTGCCCCATCTTGGTGACCATCGCCGCCGGCAGCACGGTCATCGGTCGGCCGAGCATGCGCCTCATGGCGCGCATGCTGGCCCCGGGCCAAGCCTCGACCCCGGGCGGGGGCAGCGGGGCTGACACCGTGGCCGGCCTGTCGGCCGCCGACCTGGCCAGCGCCCTGCCGGTGGTCCGTGACGGCACGGCCCTCCGCGTGTCCGGCTTCCTGCACCGGTTTGTGATTGCGGCCGGCTGCGTGCAGCCCGGCGCCGATCCGGCCTCGCACCTGCGCTCGCTGCTCAGCATGTCCCTTTCGTACTTCCAGTCGCTGCCGGCCGAGGGGGGCAGCCTCTTCCTCAAGACCCACGTCATTCGCCAGCTGATCCTGCCCATCATCCAGTATTCCGCCTCGCCGGCCGGGCAGTCCCTGGTGCCGAACCCCTCGAGCCTCCTGACGCCGGAGGTGGTGCTCCAGGTGCGGGACGCCCTGCTGCCGATTCTCCTGCAGGCGGTGGCCCACTCGAGCCCGGTGGCCGGGGTTCGTCTCTTCCGGCCGTTCGGTGACCCCCGGGGCGAGGGGGCCGAGTCGCCGCCGGCGGCGGCCGGGCCCTCCTGCGGCGCGCACGACCTCCTTTGTGCGGAGACGCTGCAGCTTTTGACGGCGCTCTTTGCCCTGGGCCCGGCCTGCCTGGACCCCATTCGCCAGCCGCTGCTGGCCGCTCTGGAGTCCTTTGTCCTGGCGGCCGGGGGCACGCTTCCCGGCTCGCCGGCGGGCGAGGAGCCCGGCGAGGCCGGGGCCCGGCAGCTGGCCGGCGGTGTGGCCGAACCCATCCTCCGGCACATGGCCTACTCGCTGTTGGCGCTGGTGGCCCGAACCAGCCAGCCGGCCGCGCCGGCCGACACCGTGCTCGACATGCTGGCATACCTGACGCGGGGCCTGCCGCCGACGGCGGTGCAGCTCCCCTGCGGCGCGATTGCCGGCAATGGTGCGCACTACTGGCACGAGTGCCGGATGCTCACGCGCCAGACGCTGGACATTCTCCTGCCGACCATCGGCCGGACGGACATGCAGGACCCCGAGGGCGATGTGCCGGCTTGGGTGGCGGTCCTGCAGGCTGCGGCCCTGGAGGATCTCAACCCGCTGATTCAATTCTGCGCCACGCCCCGGGCGTCGGATGGGCTGGTGCCCGGGTCGACGACGGCCGCGCACCATGCGGCCCTCGGCCGGCTGAGTGGCCAGCACACCGGCTTCACCTCGCACGGGGTGTGGCTGCTGCTGGTCCGCCACCGGGACCAGCTGTTCCCCCATCGCGGGCTGCTTGTCAACCCCATCGCGCGGATCATCCACCGGCTGGTGTTCGGCCCGAATGCCACTGGCACGGTGTCCTCGCTCTTCCATGAGAACCGCCAGCTGGCTTGCGAGCTGGTTGAGCTGGTGCTGGCCTGGGAGCAGCGCGCTGCGGCCAGCGGGGCCAACCGGCCCGCTGCCGAGTCCCCGCGCCTTGGGAAACGCGCACGTCGGTCGGACTCCGATGGGGGGGATTCCCCGGAGGCCGGGCAGTCGTCCTCCGACGACAGTGCCACCCCGGGTCCGGAGCCGGCTGACGCGGCTTCGGCCCGGCAGCCGGCCCCCGTGCTGGCCTTCTTCGCTGGGTTTGCCTTCCGCCTGGCGTGCACCCTGTCGGAGATTGGGCACCCCTCGTCGGCCGACCGCCGGCAGCTGCTGGATGTGTCGGTCGATCGCCGGTGTCTGGTGGCCGATGCGGCCGTGGTGTCCCGGCGTTTGTTGGCCTGCTTCCGGCAGTTCCTGGCCCTGCCGGGAGCCGACACCGACATCCGTCCGCTCCTCCGCCTGGACCTGGTGGAGAAGGGCCTGCAGGATATCATCACCCAGTTGGACAATGTCCGCCGGCAGCACACCCCGCCCTTGACCCTGCCGATCCTGGCCATCAGTTGTCTGACCGGGGCCGGTATCATGGTCAGCAATGGGTCCAGCCTCGGGGCCGGGGACTCCGCCCCGGATGCCGGGCTCCGCCTGGTTCCCGGGTACCAGTTGCTCCGGCCGCCGGCGGCCGTGGACCCGACGGCCGAGGCCGCGGCCACCCTCCAGCGCACTCCGGCCGCGGCGAATTTCCGCCTGCGCCAGCTGTGGCGCGCGCTCTTCCGCTGGATCAGCCCGGAGCTCGGCCTGACCAACACCCAGCTGTCGCACACGCACACGCCGGTGCTGGTGGCTGACGCGGCCGAGGCCGCCATCGCCGCGCTGGCCGGCTCGGTGGTCATCTGTCGCGCCTCCCCGCCTGAGTCTGGTACGTGGGCCTGCTTGCCTGCCTCCCCTCCCCCCCCCCCCCCCCCCCCCCCCCCCCCCCCCCCCCCCCCCCCCCCCCCCCCCCCCCCCCCCCCCCCCCCCCCCCCCTCGGCCGGCATCGGTGTCGGCCTCGGTCTGACCATCACCGAGATCATGCAGAAGGACCAAAGCACCGACCTCATCGTGGGCCCCCCCCCCCCCCCCCCCCCGCTTTTTGCCCTCCTTCCTCGCGCGCGCGTGCGGGCACACCCCCACACGCACATGCACATGTACACGCACACACATACAAAGACATCCTGACACTGACCCCCCTGCTGGCCTGGGCTTGGCCCCTCACTCCCGCATCGCCGCCACCGCCATCGCCCCCTATCCAGAGCTCCGCCGGACAATCGAGTCCATCGACACGCACCTGGACCAGTGCATTGCCAACTCCCTGCGGACGACCGGCCAGTTGCCGGCCGCCGGCCGCACGGTGTCCCATTTGCACCAGGTGGCTCTGGCCGTGTACCCGGCCCTGCTGCTGTTGCGCTCGGATCGTGACGCTGTGCGCACGGCCCAGGCCGCTGCCTTGGGCCTGCGGCCGCGCCAGCACCCCGGGCTCCTGCTTTCCGCCGGGCCGGGCGCCGTGCCCGGCCTGCATGAGTATGGCGCCGGGTTCGGCTTCTCCCATGGCTTCGGCAATTGGCTGGAGGCCGACCCGCTGGTGGGGGCCTCCGGCAATGTGGCGCCCGAGGCGGCCGGGGCCGGCGGTGTGGCTCCGGCACCGGCCCGGCACCGGCCCGGGCTCGGGGACCTTTCCTCGGATCGAGTGTCGCGCTTCCTGCCGCAACTGGTCCGGGCCTTTGCCCACATGGCCTCGGCCTACAGTGACTGGTCCCGCATGCCGACCTCGAGCCAGTATGCCCGCCAGCGGGACTTGGGCATCATTTCCACGGTGGCGGCCGTGGCCTCGGCCCCGGACCTGGGGGAGACCCTGCGCACCCTGCGCCGGGACCCGGCCTCCACGACCCCGGCCCCGCGCACGCCGCCGACCTACTTCTCCCCGAGCCCGAAGAACCGGGTGCCCCCGCTGGCCGAGTGCGCCTGTGGCGGGTGCATGGCCAGCCGGCCGGGGGCCACCGCCGCCACCGCCGAGGCCGGGGCCGGGGCTCGCCCGGCCGGGCCGTGCTTCCGCGCGGCGTCCGGCTTCAGCTGGCCCATCGACTTGCAGGCCCGGAATCTGGTGCTATTGCTGGACCTCCTGGCGGACCGGGTGGGCATGCTGTCGGCCAGCCGGCCCGGGCCCGGGCAGCCCTCCGACACGGAGCTCTTCCTGTCGGTGCTGATGCGCCTGGTCGAGTCGACCACCGATCCGACCCTGCTGGCGGCCATCCTGCGCCTGGTGAGCAGCTGGGTGCTGGGCCCGCGGTCGGCCGCCGGCCGGGCCCTCATCGCCAAGTCGGCGACCGTGCCGAAGCCGGCGCAGCCTGGCGTGACTCGGCGCCTGCCCCCGCCGGCGGACCTGGCGCGGCTGGTGCTCAAGCTCTGCCATGTGGCAACCAGCCTGGAGGACACCACCAACGACCAGCTTCACCAGGCGTACTCGCATTACCTGAACCTGGCGCTGCTGCTGCAGTTCGACACGTCGGCCCGGTCGGCCGCCGCCCTGGCCGCCTCGCATGCGGCCTTCTTCTCGGACGCCGTGCACAGTCTGGTGCTGGATGTCTTCGATGTGGCGCATCAGGGCTCCCCGGGCGAGTCGCCTGGCGCCGGGTCCCCTGGTCCCGAGGATGGGGCCCCCTCGGCGGCCATCGAGCCCGGCACCCCGACCGCCGGGTGTGTGGCCCTGCTGCCGCGCCTGGCGCCGGCCTTCATGCGTGGCCTGCGCCTCCGGCGGCCGGCCTTGCGCGAGCTCTTCCTCGGCCGGTTCCTGGCCGGGCTGACGCGCGTGCCCTCGGCCCGCCTGGCGCACCTCCTCTCGGATGACACCTGGCGGTCGGTGGCCTCGCGCTACTGGCTGGAGGCCGCCACCACCGGGCTGCTGGATCTCCTGGCCCCGGCATCGTCGCCCTTCGCCGATGGTGCTGTGGCCAGCTGCCCGGTGGGCCCGGGGGCGCCCCTCCGGCCACTGGCCTCGCCCTATGACCAGCTGCCCTCCTGTGTGTCGGTGGGCACCCTGCGCCTGCCGGCCCTGGCCGATCTGGAGCAATTTGCCCAAAGCCTGTTGACACAGGCCGCCAGCCGGCTGGGCCCGGCGGCGGGGTCCCTTCTCGGCCTGGACCGAGCCCGTGCCACCCTGCCCGACAGTCGGCCCATGCAGAACTTCGTCCGGCTGCTGACCGACCACTGTCGGGATCTGGACCAGCTGGGGCTCGGCTTTGCGCCGGATCCCCTGCTCGAGCGCGACCTCCAGCAGGTGGCCCTTGCCATGGCGACCGGGGTCCGGCCGGCCGACGACGCCGGGCGCACCCTGCTGGACAATGTGCCGGCCGAGCTGGCTGGGCGCGGGCGCCGGCTGGCCGACCCGCGGCCCTACCAGTCGGCGGCCCCGCGCGGGTGGCGCATCATCACCGCCCTGCGCGGGCTGCTGCACGATGCCCCGGGCCTGGCGCACTCGGTGTGGTGCTCGATGTTCCCGCGGGTGTGGCGCCTGTTGCTGACGCGCCCGGGCGAGCGGCGCCTGGTCGAGCGGCAGCTGGCCCAGCTCCTGGCCTCGGATCATCTGGTGCACCAAGAGCTCCGGGCCGGGTCGTTCGCCGTGCCGGGAACCAGCGGGTCGGATGCCCTGCCCGGGAGCGCCGGCACCGGGCCCCAGAGCGTGCACTACTTCTACCACTCCGGGGTCCCGTCGGCGCCGGCCGGCTTCTGCGGCCATGGCGGCTCGCTCTATGCCCCGACGGCCTTCGTCAACCAGGCCATCGACGGCGTGGCCACCTCGGTGCCGGAGGCCTGTCCCTATGACACCCGGTCCTTTGGGTCACTGTCGACGGCCAGCTCGGCCGGGGCCGGGGCCGCCGGGGCCTCGGGGCTCCTGTCGGCCGGCATCCTCACCGGCACCTCCGGGGCCGGGGCTTCATCGCCGCTGAATGTCGTGCAGACCCTGCTGGATGCGGCGGCCCGATGCACGGCCCCGCGGGTGATTGGCCTGCCCCCGCGACTGCTCCAGCGCCTGGGGCAAACCTTCAATGCTTGGTATGCGGCGACCGAGCTGCTGGAGCGCTATGCGGCCCAGCGCTCGGCCCTGGCCGGGGACCGGTACATCGGCCTGGCCGCCGGGCTGGGGGATGGGCTGGCCACGGCCGGCGCGGCCGGTGCCTCCCTCGGCGACGGCATTGACGCCTGCCCGCGACTGATGAGCGACTTTGATGCGCTGCATGCGCGCCCTGGCGCCGATGAGTGGAGCACCCTGCCGGCCGATGCCGATGCCGATGACACCGGCGGCGATGCCGCGGCCTATGGGCTCCCCCGGCCGGCGCGGCTGTTGCCCGGCACTGTCGGTGTCGATGATGGCACATCCTCGGCCGATGGGGCCCCCGGCCCGGCGGCCGCCGGGACCATCGGCGCCAATGACCTCCTGGCGTCGGTCAGCCAAATGCACCAGGAGGATGACGACCGTCTGGGGGACGCGGCCCTCGGCAGCCTGGCCGCCCTGTATGGCGAGCTCGGCGAGTCGGATGCCTGCTTCGGGGTGTGGCGCCGGCGGGCCCTGCTGCCCGAGTCCCTGGTCGGGCTGAGCTACGACCAGTGTGGCCGGTGGCTGAAGGCCCAGTCGGCGTACGCGCGCGGGCTGGCCCGGGCACGCGATGAGCCTGGCGTCCTGCCGGCGGCCGAGCGTGCCCTGCTGGAAACCCGGTGGGTCGAATGTGCCCGGCGTCTGCAGCTGTGGGACATGCTGGCGGACTATGGGACCCTGTCGGCCAGCCAGGCCGAGCCCGGATCGGCCCCCTTCGTCATGGCCAATCTCCTGGTGGTCGATGCCAGCTGGCGCAGTGGGGACTGGGCTCGCCATGCGGCGGCCCTGCAAGCGGCCCAAGCCGCGCGGCCCTTCTCCCGGGACCCGGCCTTGCGCATGGCCGAGATCCTGCAAATGCTCTACTCTTACAATGCCCCGCTCGGGGGGGCCGCCACCCCCGGGGCGGCGGATGGGTCCGGCCCGGGTGGCATGCCCCCGGCAGGGGGCCCGGGCCCGGCCACCCCCGGTGCTCTGCTGACCAAGATCGACGAGTGCTACCAGTGGCTGCTCCAGCGGTGGGGCAGCTTCGCCACCGGGGCCGGCGGGGCCGGGGCCTTCGGCGCCGTGCAGATCCGCCTGCTCCAGCAATTCCAGCAACTCATCGAATTGACCGAGTCGCACCACTTGCTGTCGCTGCTGGACCGGTCGGTGGTGCATCCGCCCGGCACGCCGGGCGTGCCGGACCCGGTGGACCCCAGCCACCTGTCCGACGTGCGCATTACCCTGACCAATTGGCGCGACCGGCTGCCCAACCGCTGGGATGACATCGGCGTGTGGGGCGACGTGCTGGCCTGGCGCCAGCACATGTTCGCCTCGCTGAATCTCCTGCTGAACCCGACGCAATCCGGCGCGCCGACCTTGTCGGAGGCCGCGGCCAGCCAGCTGCCCCAGCACATGGGCCACCATGAGACGGCCTTCGGCATCAATCGCTTTGCCCATGTGGCCCGGCGCCATGGGCTCATCGACACGGCCCTCAGCGCCCTGGCCAAGATTTACCTCCTGCCGAACATCGAAATCCGCGATGCCTTCCTGAAGCTGCGCGAGCAGGCCAAGTGCTACCTGGACGCGTCGGCCCCCTCGCGGCCCGGGCGCGATGACGGCCTGGCCCTCGATGCGGCCGTCGGCCTGGATGTCATCCTCAACACCAACCTCTCGTACTTCAATGACGATCAGAAGGCCGAGTTCTTTGCCCTCAAGGGGACCTTCTACATGCGGGTGGTGGACCAGCGCCGGCGTCTGTTGCGTTTGCAGCGCAGCCTCCTGGCCCCGGGGACCGGTCCGGGCACCGGGGCCCCGGCTTCCCCGCCCCCGGGCGATGCGGCGGGTACCGCCCTGGTGCCGACCACGCCGGCCGAGCTGTCGGCCGCGGCCACGGCCGCCGGTGTGGACGCCAGCCAAACCGAGCATCTCATGCACCTGGCCAATTACGTCATGTCCACCGGGACATCCATGTCGCCGAAGATCCACCAAGCGTGGGCCGCCTGGGCGGACTTCCATGAGCGCCGGTACCGGGCCGAGCCGGCTGACATCCGCCTGGCCCTGAGCCTGGCCCAGTGCCTGCTGAATGCCGTGGTCCATGATGACCGGGTTCATCGGTACTCGCGACTGATTGCCCGGTTCCTGTGGCTGATCTCCAGCTTGGCGGATGCGCTGCCGGCGGCGGCTGCGGCGGCCGCCGCGGCCGCTGCCACGGCGGCCGCCGAAAACCCGGATGCCCCCCGGCCGCCGCCGCCCCGGTCACCGCTGGAGGAGATGGAAAACTTCTCGGTCGAGATTTGGAGCGTGGTGCAGCTGGTCCCGCGCGAGCGGCTGCTGCCCTTCATCCACCACCTGATCCTCGGGCTGTACCGGCCGTCGGAGTCGCGCCTGGCGCGGTCTTTCCTGCCGCTGATCGCCACTTCCTACCCGCAGCCGGTGCTGCTCAGCCTGCGTCCCCTGATGCAGGAAGCCCGGGAGATGATTCCCCGCATCGATGCCAGCCACCGGGGCTACTACAACCAGTCGATGGATGCCTACATGCGTGTGGCGCACTTCTACAATCTGGTCATCTCTTCCATCGTGGAGAAGTTCTGCGACGACATGATGACCGCCACCAAGGCCGACCACGACACGGACATGCTGCGCATGGTGCAGGATGTCCTGCGTCAATGTCACCAGGCCACCATCCTGGCGGTGACGGCGGCCCCGAGCGCCCCGGCCGCCGAGGAGCCGCCCGGGCCCGGTGCATCGGCCGGCGGCAGCCAGCCCGGCATCCAGGAGCCGGTTCCTCTGACCATCCACCGGCACCTGATTCAGCTTGGGCGTTTCTTCAATCCCAAGCAGTCGCGCGTGGCCATGCCGAAGCTCTTCCTGCATGATCTCCATGTGGCCGAGGACCCGAAGGAGCAGGCCGGCCTCCCGCGTCTGACCCTGAGCCAGGCCACCGGGCGGCTGCGCATGTGGCGCGAGCGCTTCCACGAGGCGGTCCTGCTCCATCGGGCCGCTCGCCGGGACCAGGCCCTGTCCATTCAGATGATGGCCAGCCTGCCGCAAATGATGCCGCTCATGACCGGGCCGAATGTCCACCAGCCGGTGCGCAATTCCCAGCTCACTGGCGGGGTGGTGCCGCTGACGCCGGCGGCCGTGCTGGCCGGCGGGTCGCAATTGAGCACCTCCTCGCTGCACTATGGCCTGGAAGTGCCGGGGCTGGTCATGCATGCGGCCTGTGCCGGGGACCAGCTGGCCCTGACCACCCCGGGGGCGGTGCCGCGCATCCGGCGCATTCTCCACGCATCGCCCTTGGTCCGCCGGGCGGGCAATTACGTCCGCCGGGTGAGCTTCGCCGGGACCGATGGCCGGACCTACCACTACACCGTGCAGCTGACCAACCGGTCGGCGGTGCGCTTCTCCGAGGAGCGCATTCTCACCCTCTTCCGGCTGTTGAATGCCAGCCTCCGGCGGGATGTGTCGGTGGCGGCGCGCTTTGGCGGGTGCGCCGGGGCCGGGGCCGGGGTGGCCGGCATCAGCCCGGCCACGGCCGCCTCGTCCGGGCTCTTCGCCGCGCCGGTCATGGTCTCCCTCAGCCTGTCCATGCGCTTGGTGCAGGAGGACCCGACGGCCCTCTCGCTGGGGGACATCTTCGAGCATTATTCCTCCTCTCGGGCACAGGCAGCCGACGCGGCGGTCATGGCCTACCTGGCCCGGCTCCGGGCCCAGGCACATCTGTTCCGCCTGCCGGGGGCCGCGCAGCCCGGGCGTCTGGATGCCCTGACCCAGATCCTGACCCTGCGATTGGATGCCTTCGAGGACACGGCCCGGCGCTATGCCCCGGCGCATGTCCTTTCCCGGCATGTGGCCCGGCTGTTCAACTCCCCGGCGGATTTGTACACCTTCCGCCGGCGCATGGCCGCCTCCTATGCGGCCACCGTGCTGATGTCCTACTCGTTGGGCATGTCGCCGGAGCGTGATCCGCATCAGCTCCTGCTGTCGGCCTCGACCGGTGCCATGACTCTCGGGGATCTCCAGCTGAACCTCAACCAGCAGACCGTCCTGCTGGAGACCGCCGGCTCGGTGTCGGCGTATGCCAGCTCGCAGCATCTGGCCCAGGCGACGGCCCCGCCGGCCACGCCGAGCACCACCTCGCCCCCGGCATCTCCCTCTCCGGGGGCCGGCGGCGACGCGGGGCTCCTGCCAGGGCTGACCGCGGCGCCGGTGCCCTTCCGCCTGACGCCCAACATCCAGCGTGCTCTCGGGGCCACCCTGCTGGATGGAGTGTTCATCCCGTCGTTGTGGCTGTTGGCTCGCGTGCTGGCCACTCCGGGCACCCGGCTGGCTGACCTGCTGACCATCACCCTGCGCGATGATGTGGCCGTCCTGCTGACCATGATTGTGGACCGGCTGTTTACCCAGCAGAAGCGCCGGGCCGCCGCGGCCAATGCCGGGGACGCGCCCGTCCGCCGGCCGCCGGCTCCCTTCTCGCACATTGACCGGGTCCAGCGGAATGTCGACATCATCGAACGCCGGATCTTGCACCTGGTTGGTGGGTCGGAGGCCGTGGCCACCGGTACCAGCCTGGCCATTGCCCAGCTCGACCCCCCGAGCCTGGGGGCCATGCTTGGTGGCGCCGAGGCCGCCAAGGCGGCCGCCGGGCCGGGGGCCCTGCCTCCAGGCGGCATGCATGCCGAAACCCTTTACCAGCCGATCGTGGACCTGGTATCGGTGGCCACCTCGCCGCAGCAGCTGGCCCAGATGGATCCCACCTGGCACCCGTGGCTGTGAGAGGCTGAGCGCGGGAGCAAGAGGGTGAAAGACCGACAGCGGGGTAATCTGTGTGTGTATGTCGCCCGAGTAGATGTGCTCACGACACACATGCACACACACACACACACGCACGCATGCTTCCAAATGCCCTTGTTTTAGGCTGCTGCTGCCGCCCCCCCCCCCCCCCCTTGTGTCCCTCCTCTGGGCCTTCCCCCTTCTCTTGCCGCACTTGCGGAGGCACATGCGCGCGCGCTGATCCACTCCTGCGCGTGTCCCTGTCTTCATTCCTCCAATATACACCCTACCTGTAGCATGGCCTGTCTTCCAAACCCATGTGTACTTGTTGCCCCCTCCCCCTGCTTTGGTTTCCCAAGGATGCTCCCGTACTTTTTTTTACGCTCCCTTCCCCCTGGGCAAATCACAAGCCATGGCGGCACCTTCCCCATGAAGGTGTTTCACAAGGGCTGCATTTATTTTGTTATCTTTTCTTCATCTTCTTTCTTCGGACAACGGCCTTGTCATCATGTGCTGTGGAGGTCCCCCCGGCCCCCCGCTCGGCCGCGGGCCTGTCCCGCTGTGGTTCGGGGAAAAGGAGAAAGACTCCCACCAGGTGAGATACATCGGGGCAGCGGGCAAGCGAGTGTGGGCCGGGGCCAGGCGGCGGGGAAAGACCGGCGGAAAAGGGAGGTACACCTCTCACTGGAACTGATGCACGGGGAGGTTGTGGAGCTCGCCACTCAGGGCCACCGGGACCGGGGCCACAGCCGGGTTGTTGGGGACCACGCGGTTGAAGCTAATCTTATAGAGAATCCGGAAGGTGGGCCCAGCCTAGAGTGTAGTTGAGGAGGGGTGAGTGTCCACCGGCCAGGTACCCAGGCAGGAGGTCGGAGAGGAATGACAACAGAGAGGAGGGGACCAGAGATGGGACTCATGAATCACGTACTTGACCGTCGGTGGGCTTGTGGAAAAGGATTGTGAAGGGCTGGGAGATGGGAGCACTGCCAGCCGGACCGGCCTGCGAGCTGCTGGAAGGGAGCAGCTCCAGCTTCATGACCTGCGTGGAAGGGGTACCGTGTGCGCGATCACCAGGTGAGCAGGAGAAAAGGGGAAGAAGGTCAATCAGGGGAAAGGGGCGAGGAGAGAAGGAGAGAGAGAGAGAGAGAGAGAG